ATGCAACTGAAAACTCACACCCCCAGAAGTACCTCGGCTACCATCATCTTTTGTCCGGTCGTGATGGTCGAGTGGTTAAGGGGTCTTGTACACCAGTTGCAGAGTGCTCCAGGCAGTATGGGTTCGAGTCCCTTCTGGGGTGTGAGTTTTCAGTTGCATATATGCCTGGGGACCATTCAGGCTTGTTCGCATATATATATAACTGCAGAAGGAAGCAATGAAAGCAGTGAAGAATGCAGGAAAGCAGCAGGCTAGGCTCATATAGATGTTTAGAGGTTAGGCCAAAGTGAATGAAGTGGTGTCCTCTTGTCTCCATTGATGTTGGTTAGGCCACCTGACCATTGTCAATGAATTTATGCAATATTTGCATGTCTGTATGCAAATGTTGCTGTGAAGTTTGTGTGTGTGTGTTTGTGTGAGGGAGTGTGTGTGTGTGAGGGAGTGTGTGTGTTTGTGTGAGGGAGTGTGTGTGTGTGAGGGAGTGTGTGTGTTTGTGTGAGGGAGTGTGTGTGTGTGTGTGTGTGTGTGGAGGGAGTGTGTGTGTTTGTGTGAGGGAGTGTGTGTGTGTGTGTGTATGTGTGTGTGTGTGTGTGTGTGTGTGTGTGTGTGTGTGTGTGTGTGTGTGTGTGTGTGTGTGTGTGTGTGTGTGTGTGTATGTGTGTGTGTGTGGGGGGGGGGGAGTGTGTGTACTCACCTAGTTGTACTTACTAGTTGTGCTTGCGAGGGTTCAGAACTAGCTCTTTGGTCCCGCCTCTCAACCGTCAATCAACTGGTGTACAGGTTCCTGAGCCTATTGGGCTCTATCGTATCTACATTTGAAACTGTGTATGGAGTCAGCCTCCACCACATCACTTCCTAGTGCATTCCATCTGTTAACTACTCTGACACTGAAAAAGTTCTTTCTAACGTCTCTGTGGCTCATGTGGGTACTCAGTTTCCACCTGTGTCCCCTTGTTCGCGTCCCACCAGTGTTAAACAGTTTATTTTTACCTACCCTGTCGATTCCTCTTAGAATTTTGTAGGTAGTGATCATGTCTTCCCGAGCTCTCCTATTTTCCAGCGACGTTAGGTGCATCTCTCGCAGCCTTTCCTCGTAACTCATGCCTCTTAGTTCTGGGACTAGTCTAGTGGCATACTTTTGAACTTTTTCCAGCCTCGTCTTGTGCTTGACAAAGTACGGGCTCCATGCTGGGGCCGCATACTCCAGGAGTGGTGTTACATATGTGGTGTACAAGATTCCGAATGATTCCTTACACAGGTTCCTGAACGCTGTTCTGATGTTAGCCAGCCTCGCATATGCCGCAGATGTTATTCTCTTTATGTGGGCTTCAGGAGATAAATTGAAGCCTAGTTTCATTACCGTACGTTTGCTCGGGTTGAACTGTACTAGCCATTTCTAGTAGTAGACCATTCATTCAGTTTGTCTAGAACATCTTGTAGCCTCATACTATCTTCCTCTGTTTTAATCCTCCTTATAATTATTTGCATCATCAGCAAACATTGAGAGGAGCGATTCAATACCCTCTGGGAGATCATTTGTATATATCAGAAACAGTATAGGTCCAAGGACTGACCCCTGCGAGACCCCACTAGTCACGCCTCGCCAATCTGAGACCTCGCCCCTCACAGTGACTCGTTGTCTCCTGTTGCTTAGGTACTCCTTTATCCAATGGAGTACCTTCCCTTTCACTCCAGCCTGCATCTCCAGCTTGTGCACTAGTCTCTCGTGTGGCACTGTGTCAAAGGCTTTCTGGCAATCCAAAAATATGCAGTCTGACCACCCTTCTCTTTCTTGCCTTATTTTTGTTGCCTGGTTGTAGAATTCAAGTAACCCTGTGAGGCAGGACCTGCCATCTCTGAACCCATGTTGATGCTGTGTTACAAAGTTCCTTCGCTCCAGATGTTCCACTAGCTTTTCTCGCACAATCTTCTCCATCAGCTTGCATGGTATGCAGGTTAGGGACATTGGCCTGCAGTTCAGTGCCTCCTGTCTCTCCCTCTTTGTGTATATCATTAGCAGTCTTCCATTAGCCGTCTTCCAAATTTTTGGCAGTTCCCATGTTGCCAGTGATTTGTTATACACTATGGAGAATGGTAGGCACAGTGCTTATGCTCCTTCCTTTAGGATTCAGGGAGAGATTTCATCCGGGCCTATAGCCTTTGTCACATCCAACTCTAGCAAAAGCTTCCTTACATCTCCACTGGTAATCCCAAATTTCTCTAGTGGTGCCTGGTTATCTATTCCCTCTCTTATCTCTGTAACTTCTCCTTGCTCTAATGTAAAGATCTCCTGTAATTTCTTTTTGACTTCCTCACACACTTCCTTGTCGTTTGTAGTGAATCTGTCTGCCCCTATCCTCAGTTTCATAACCTGTTCCTTTACTGTTGTTTTTCTCCAGATGTGGCTATGCAGCAATTTAGGCTGAGTCTTTGCCTTGCTTGCGATGTCATTTTCGTATTGTCTTTCTGCCTCTCTTCTCATCCTGACATATTCATTCCTGGCATTCTGGTGTCTTTCTCTGCTCTCCAGTGTCCTGTTTTTCCTATAGTTTCTCCATGCCCTTTTACTTTGCTGCTTAGCTAGCCTACATCTCTGATTAAACCATGGGTTTCTCATCTTCATTTCTCTGTTTTCCTTTTGGACTGGGACAAACTTGTTTGCTGCGTCCTTGCACTTCTGCGTGTGTTTGTTTGTTTGTGTGTTTTTTGTTTGTGTGTTGTGTGTGTGTTTGTGAGGGGAAGGGGAGAGTGTGTGTGTATGGGAGGAGAGGGAGTGTGAGTGTAAGCGTGCATGCGCTTGCACGAACTCTCAAAGAAGCTACAGTCAAGAACCTACGCCAACAAGACTTCAGCTCTCGGACCCGCCATTGAACCACTAGATCGACACTCTGTGAGGACCCGGATCGAGTTCTCTCGATTCGTCGCTGCGTAAAAAACACGACTGTTTTGCCATGCCAGAAACACACGAACCCAAGCAACCCGCCAACCCTTACCTAATCTATCGAGGCCGATGCATAGAAAACGTTAATTTTACGGAGCATTTATTTTTGCTAAAACGTCGCATTTTTAACGGATTGCTCAATTCCGTAATAAATGCGACCTATTAGGGAGTCGAAACGGGAAAATTGATGACGCTATCCGAAGTAAGCCGCGGGTACCAGGCCGCTGAAGGAGAGGGTACCAGGCCGCTGAAGGAGCGGGTACCAGACCGCTGAAGGAGCGGGTACCAGACCGCTGAAGGAGCGGGTACCAGGCCGCTGAAGGAGAGGGTACCAGGCCGCTGAAGGAGCGGGTACCAGGCCGCTGAAGGAGCGGATACCAGGCCGCTGAAGGAGCGGGTACCAGGCCGCTGAAGGGAGCGGGTACCAGGACACTGAAGGAGCGGGTACCAGGCCGCTGAAGGAGAGGGTACCAGGCTGCTGATGGAGTGGGTACCAGGCTGCTGATGGAGTGGGTACCAGGCTGCTGAAGGAGAGGGTACCAGACCGCTGAAAGAGCGGGAACCAGGCCGCTGAAGGAGCGGGTACCAGGCCGCTGAATGGGCGGGTACCAGGCTGCTGAAGGAGCGGGTACCAGGCTGCTGAAGGAGCGGGTACTAGGCCGCTGAAGGAGCGGGTACCAGGCCGCTGAAGGAGCGGGTACCAGGCCGCTGAAGGAGAGGGTACCGGGCCGCTGAAGGAGCGGGTACCAGGCCGCTGAAGGAGCGGGTACTAGGCTGCTGATTGAGGGGGTACCAGGCTGCTGAAGGAGAGGGTACCAGGCCGCTGAAGAAGCGGGTACCAGGCCGGTGAAGGAGCGGGTACCAGGCTGCTGAAGGAGAGGGTACCAGGCCGCTGAAGGAGCGGGTACCAGGCCGGTGAAGGAGCGGGTACCAGGCTGCTGAAGGAGCGGGTACCAGGCTGCTGAAGGAGCGGGTACCAGGCCGCTGAAGGAGCGGGTACCAGGCTGCTGATGGAGGGGGTACCAGGCTGCTGAAGGAGAGGGTACCAGACCGCTGAAGGAGCGGGTACCAGGCCGCTGAATGGGCGGGTACCAGGCTGCTGATGGAGGGGGTACCAGGCTGCTGAAGGAGAGGGTACCAGGCCGCTGAAGGAGCGGGTACCAGGCCGGTGAAGGAGCGGGTACCAGGCTGCTGAAGGAGAGGGTACCAAGCCGCTGAAGGAGCGGGTACCAGGCCAGTGAAGGAGCGGGTACCAGGCCGGTGAAGGAGCGGGTACCAGGCTGCTGAAGGAGAGGGTACCAGGCCGCTGAAGGAGCGGGTACCAGGCCGCTGAAGGAGCGGGTACCAGGCCGCTGAATGGGCGGGTACCAGGCCGCTGAAGGAGCGGGTACCAGGCTGCTGAAGGAGCGGGTACCAGGCCGCTGAATGGTCAGGTACCAGGCTGCTGAAGGAGCGGGTACCAGGCTGCTGAAGGAGAGGGTACCAGACCGCTGAAGGAGCGGGTACCAGGCCGCTGAAGGAGAAGGTACCAGGCTGCTGAAGGAGAGGGTACCAGGCCGCTGAAGGAGAAGGTACCAGGCTGCTGAAGGAGCGGATACCAGGCCGCTGAAGGAGAGGGTACCAGGCTGGTGTAGGAGCGGGTACCAGACCGCTGAAGGAGCGGGTACCAGGCTGCTGAAGGAGCGGGTACCAGGCTGCTGAAGGAGCGGGTACCAGGCTGCTGAAGGAGAGGGTACCAGGCCGCTGAAAGAGAGGGTACCAGGCCGCTGAAGGAGAGGGTACCAGGCCGCTGAAGGAGTGGGTACCAGGCCGCTGAAGGAGCGGGTACCAGGCCGCTGAAGGAGAGGGTACCAGGCCGCTGATGGAGCGGGTACCAGGCCGCTGAAGGAGCGGGTACCAGGCCGCTGAAGGAAGCGGGTACCAGGCCACTGAAGGAGCGGGTACGAGGCCGCTGAAGGAGAGGGTACCAGGCCGCTGAAGGAAGCGGATACCAGGCCGCTGAAGGAGCGGGTACCAGGCCGCTGAAGGAGCGGATACCAGACCGCTGAAGGAGCGGGTACCAGGCCGGTGAAGGAAGCGGGTACCAGGCCGCTGAAGGAGAGGGTACCAGGCCGCTGAAGGAGTGGGTACCAGGCCGCTGAAGGAGCGGGTACCAGGCTGCTGAAGGAGCGGGTACCAGGCCGCTGAATGGGCGGGTACCAGGCTGCTGAAGGAGCGGGTACCAGGCCGCTGAAGGAGCGGGTACCAGGCTGCTGAAGGAGCGGGTACCAGGCCGCTGAAGGAGAGGGTACCAGGCCGCTGAAGGGAGCGGGTACCAGGCCGCTGAAGGAGAGGGTACCAGGCCGCTGAAGGAGCGGGTACCAGGCCGCTGAAGGGAGCGGGTACCAGGCCGCTGAAGGAGAGGGTACCAGGCCGCTGAAGGAGCGGGTACCAGGCCGCTGAAGGGAGCGGGTACCAGGCCGCTGAAGGAGAGGGTACCAGGCCGCTGAAGGAGAGGGTACCAGGCCGCTGAAGGAGAGGGTACCAGGCCGCTGAAGGAGAGGGTACCAGGCCGCTGAAGGAGCGGGTACCAGGCCGCTGAAGGAGCGGGTACCAGGCTGCTGAAGGAGCGGGTACCAGGCCGCTGAAGGAGCGGGTACCAGGCCGCTGAAGGAGCGGGTACCAGGCCGCTGAAGGAGCGGGTACCAGGCCGCTGAAGGAGCGGGTACCAGGCCGCTGAAGGAGAGGGTACCAGGCCGCTGAAGGAGCGGGTACCAGGCCGCTGAAGGAGCGGGTACCAGGCCGCTGAAGGAGCGGGTACCAGGCCGCTGAAGGAGCGGGTACCAGGCCGCTGAAGGAGCGGGTACCAGGCCAAGTTACGACTTTCGAATTTTTTAGAAGTCACGAATTAAGGGATTAATGTGTTGCGTGATTAGTGCCCGTCCGTGAGCCCCGTTACTGTGCGTCCGTGAGCCCCGTTACTGTGCGTCCGTGAGCCCCGTTACTGTGCGTCCGTGAGCCCCGTTACTGTGAGTCCGTGAGCCCCGTTACTGTGCGTCCGTGAGCCCCGTTACTGTGCGTCCGTGAGCCCCGTTACTGTGCGTCCGTGAGCCCCGTTACTGTGCGTCCGTGAGCCCCGTTACTGTGCGTCCGTGTACGTTCTCAGTCACTGTGCGTCCGTGTACGTTCTCAGTCACTGCGCGTCCGTGTACGTTCTCACTGTGCGGTACGTGAGGTCCGTTATTAGCTATTTGTGATGGATGGATATCTTAAAATTGAACAGAACACCGGGCGCTAACAGCCCCTTGTTCTGTTCGAACTACTGTGTGCTCTTGCGGCGCTAACAGCCCCTTGTTCTGTTCGAACTACTGTGTGCTCTTGCGGCGCTAACAACCCCTTGTTCTGTTCGAACTTTGTGTGCTCCAGCGGTGCTAACAGCCCCTTGTTCTGTTCGAACTTTGTGTGCTCCAGCGGTGCTAACAGCCCCTTGTTCTGTTCGAACTACTGTGTGCTCCAGCGGTGCTAACAACCCCTTGTTCTGTTCGAACTACTGTGTGCTCCAGCGGCGCTAACAGCCCCTTGTTCTGTTCGAACTACTGTGTGCTCCAGCGGTGCTAACAACCCCTTGTTCTGTTCGAACTTTGTGTGTTCCAGCGGTGCTAACAACCCCTTGTTCTGTTCGAACTACTGCAGTTACAGCGGCGCTAACAACCCAATGATTCTGATGAAAAAGTTTGTTCAAACAATGTATCAGACATCGTAAGTGCGCCAGACGTCGGAGATACATCTTGCCAGACATCGTAAGTGTCCCAGACATCGTAGCTCCATCATACCAGGCATCGTAGGTGTCCGAAACATCGTAGCTCCATCATACCAGGCATCGTAGGTGTCCCAGACATCGTAGCTCCATCATACCAGGCATCGTAGGTGTCCCAGACATCGTAGCTCCATCATACCAGGTATCGTAGGTGTCCGAGACATCGTAGCTCCATCATACCAGGCATCGTAGGTGTCCGAGACATCGTAGCTCCATCATACCAGGCATCGTAGGTGTCCGAGACATCGTTGCTCCATCATACCAGGCATCGTAGGTGTCTGAGACATCGTAGCTCCATCATACCAGGCATCGTAGGTGTCCCAGACATCGTAGCTCCATCATACCAGGCATCGTAGGTGTCCGAGACATCGTTGCTCCATCTTACCAGACATCGTAAGTGTCTGAGACATCGTAGATCCATCTTACCAGATATCGTAAGTGTCCCAGACGTCGGAACTCAATCTTACCAGACATCGTAAGTGTCCCAGACATCGTAGCTCCATCTTACTAGACATCGTAAGTGTCCCAGACATCGTAACTCCATCTTACCAAACATCGTAAGTGTCTCAGACATCGCGGCCAGCATTCACCAGGCATTTACACAACACCTTACGAAACCTGTAGATCTTCCCACAATCATGGCGGCTTTATTGACATATATTAACCAGGTTATGAACCCCGATGCACCGTACGAGGTTGTTTACAACAATAACAACCTGGTGTTGTGAAGTTTACAACCTCGTAAACTGTTGAAAGAAGTGTAAACAAAGCCAACTATAATTGCGGAAAGATGCAGAGGCTTCGTAAGTGCGTGTGAATGCTTGTTGAATATTGGCACGTCCCTCGACACCAATTTGCGGGATCTAATCCTCGTCAACAACGGTGTATAACTGCTACAAAGGTGTGCGGATTAATTAACCCAATAGGTAATTGAGAAGGAGGTAATTGCGCACTTATATACAGGTACTAGAGGGGTGGGTTTTCGTCACACGACCCTGGCAGCCTCCAGTTCATCTCGGAGATGACAGCCTATTGTTTTCGCCTGCTTGGAGTGGTTGGTACAGCGATGGTTTAGTATCTGGTTGGGTCTGGGGTTCGATTCCCTCCCGAGGGGTGCTAGGGGTTTGGGGGAGCGTTCCTGTACTTCGTTCCTTGTGTCCCAGCTCCTTGTTCTCATATCCCAGCTCCTTGGGCCTTATATCCCAGCTCCTTGTTCTCATATCCCAGCTCCTTGGGCCTTATATCCCAGCTCCTTGTTCTCATATTCCAGCTCCTTGTCCTCATATCCCAGCTCCTTGTCCTCATATCCCAGCTCCTTGTCCTCATATCCCAGCTCCTTGTCCTCATATCCCAGCTCCTTGTCCTCATATCCCAGCTCCTTGTCCTCATATCCCAGCTCCTGGTCTCCCACCGCGAGCTCTGTATAGTTGACTGAACGTTACTCGCGCTAATTTTACCCACTGGCTCTAAGATATATCTCCAGCAAACGCACAGTTGAGAGGCGGGACCAAAGAGCCAGAGCTCAACCCCCGCAAGCACAACTAGGTGAGTACAACGTGAATGTGGCATTGGAGTAATGTTGCCTCAACGTCATATTAAACGTCGCTAAGACGTTCCGTGTTGCGAAGTATTCAGTGTGAGACGTACCGCGTTTCTTGGTCAGTATACACCGAGAGTATACTTTTATCCTGGACAAAGGTATACTTCAGGACTAAAGTATACTTGCTGGTTGGTCAGTAAGGTGTTGCGGTGGTCTTAATAACCTTCCAGAGATTGATAGGTCTTAAGTCCAACACCAAACTTGCTGGTTGGTCAGTAAGGTGTTGTGGTGGTCTTAATAACCCTCCAGAGGTTGATAGGTCTTAAGTCCAACACCAAACTTGCTGGTTGGTCAGTAAGGTGTTGTTGTGGTCTTAATAACCCTCCAGAGGTTGATAGGTCTTAAGTCCAACACCAAACTTGTTGGTTGGTCAGTAAGGTGTTGTGGTGGTCTTAATAACCCTCCAGAGGTTGATAGGTCTTAAGTCCAACACCAAACTTGCTGGTTGGTCAGTAAGGTGTTGTGGTGGTCTAAATAACCCTCCAGAGGTTGATAGGTCTTAAGTCCAACACCAAACTTGCTGGTTGGTCAGTAAGGTGTTGTGGTGGTCTTAATAACCCTCCAGAGGTTGATAGGTCTTAAGTCCAACACCAAACTTTCTGGTTGGTCAGTAAGATGTTGTGGTGGACTTAATAACCCTCCAGAGGTTGATAGGTCTTAAGTCCAACACCAAACTTGCTGGTTGGTCAGTAAGATGTTGTGGTGGACTTAATAACCCTCCAGAGGTTGATAGGTCTTAAGTCCAACACCAAACTTGCTGGTTGGTCAGTAAGGTGTTGTGGTGGTCTTAATAACCCTCCAGAGGTTGATAGGTCTTAAGTCCAACACCAAACTTGCTGGTTGGTCAGTAAGGTGTTGTGGTGGTCTTAATAACCCTCCAGAGGTTGATAGGTCTTAAGTCCAACACCAAACTTGTTGGTTGGTCAGTAAGGTGTTGTGGTGGCCTTAATAACCCTCCAGAGGTTGCTAGGTCTTAAGTCCAACACCAAACTTGCTGGTTGGTCAGTAAGGTGTTGTGGTGGTCTTAATAACCCTCCAGAGGTTGATAGGTCTTAAGTCCAACACCAAACTTGCTGGTTGGTCAGTAAGGTGTTGTGGTGGCCTTAATAACCCTCCAGAGGTTGATAGGTCTTAAGTCCAACACCAAACTTGCTGGTTGGTTAGTAAGGTGTTGTGGTGGTCTTAATAACCCTCCAGAGGTTGATAGGTCTTAAATCCTACACCAAACTTGCTGGTTGGTCAGTAAGGTGTTGTGGTGGTCTTAATAACCCTCCAGAGGTTGCTAGGTCTTAAATCCTACACCAAACTTGCTGGTTGGTCAGTAAGGTGTTGTGGTGGCCTTAATAACCCTCCAGATGTCAATAGACCTTAAGTCCAACCCCCCAAAAAGGAACATAGTATACAAAGTTACTTACATCCTGGAAGTCTGTGATCTCGGCACTCATGGTGGTAGAGGATAGTAGTGGTGGTGGAGTCAGCAGTAAGTCCAGACAGTGGTGATCTTCCCACCACACAAATGCCCAAGCACACACACAGGTGCCAAGAGTCGGGTTGAGGGGGGGGGTTGGTGGTCTCCTCAACTAGCGCCACACTATAAGAGGACAGTTGGTAACAACCGCGCAGGCCATTCCGTTTTCCATCTAAAACCACACTTGAACGGTTTGGAGAAGGGTTGGCGGCCTGAGGGAATTACAACCTGAAGCACATCACATCAACACGTGGGATAAGGAGACGCTACACAAAAAAATTATCTCCAGTTGCAACTGGCACTAAAAAAATCACTGTCGCGGGGGGACTCTTTTTTTCCTTTTTTAGGGGAGGTGGGGGGGTGGCGTAGCGTAGATAGGTTTGCAACAAAGACACTGTTGCGTGCACGAATCACTTGAGGGAAGTGATTACAGGATATCACCTCGGGTCAATCCCCCTTACACAGGTGCACAAACACATACACACACACACACGAGCCAAAAAAGCGATGCCCCCATTAAAGACAGACACAGTGTATATAGCGTCCAGCGACGTGTTATTCCAGGACCGTTATAGGTGAGGGCGTGTGTTGCGCCCAGCGGTGGTGTCTGTGTGCGCTGACTTCGCGCAATGATGGGGGGGGTGAGCGGGACACCCTCTCTCCTGTCTCTCCGCTTGGTTGTCGAACTCCTCACCTCCTAACAAACCCCCACCACTACCACCCTACCCCAACCACTCCCGCCCACAATTACAACCCCGCTGGTCCAACCACCCGCCATATACGCCTATACGAGGGGAAAAAACTCAATTAATAGATTAGATTACTTGGGAAAATAGAGTTGGGGCAAATAGAGCATCGATAACCGCGTGGCTACGCCCAGCCCCCTTTTCCAGCGGCCCCGCCCAGGCAGGTAAGAGTTGGAACTAACGAGAAGTGGAGCACCTGGTGGCTCCGGCACGCGCACACCAGTACACCTCCACCATCACTCTTCCTCGCACACATATTTCTACATATTTCAACCTGTCGCTTTCATTCGAACCCGTTACATACTATGGGTCTGGCGCTGAAGGTTTCCTGAAAACTCCCGCTTTAAAGGAGTGAGCAAATTGCTAGATATGACAGTCTGCGCACTGTAGGTGCATTAATAACTAGTTCTAGTCTATTTTAGCTCTTCACATATATATATACTGATGCTATCGGATAATTACATAAACCTCTAGTGTATCTAGAGCACTAGATGCACTAGAGAATATGTCATCAGATATATTCTATTTAATAACTAGATAAAAGGTATCGACATTAATAGTAATTTTGATTCACAAGAACATGTTTACGAAGAACAAGTGAACAGTTGAAGGAACAGCTGAGCTACAGTAATGAGGGCAATGATTGGTTCTCCTGGAGCAACAACATCATCGTCTTTCCAAAGGACCTCAGAGGGAGCAAGTAAAAGATAACTCCATAAGTTCCCGCCTCGTCCAGCGCGCCTATGGGCCTCTGAACAGCCCTACAGAGTGCGGAACTGGGCGTGTACCCCGCCGCCTAGGGGGGCGTGGCTTGCTCAGAACCCCGCCCTCTCCTGCGCTAACCACAGTGCACGAAAGATCTGGGGCAATGTGGCGGGGGTTGGCTCCACCCACACAGTACGCTGGCCAAATACGCCTTCTCCTCAATCACTTCTAACCTAAAATCACTTCTACTTTCCAGTCCCCATACGCCCTCGACGCTCTCCTCTCTCCCCCTAAGAACATTCCTAACTGGGAAGAACCCTACATAGCCAAAGACGATCCCTGCAAATGCATTGCAAGGCTCCGGTGGCGGCAATTACTCCATGCTGGCCTGCAGGGGGGGGGGGGGGGGGACTGGGAACTGAAAGGACAACCTTGAGCCACTTCAGAGACCCCCAGAGGCTTGGTCATTAGCCTTATTTTATCACACTCTACTCCAGCGATACTCATCTGGCAACCCTAAACTGGGTGCCGATGCAACACCGGAAAAATTGCACTGTAATTTCTGAAGTTCCTGTAACCAGCGCTTGCTGCGTTATTTAGGGATTCCTAGGGCTTATTTTGTGGGATTCCTAAGGCTTATTTGGGGGATTTCTAAGGCTTAGTGGGGGATTCCGAAGGCTTAGTGGGGGATTCCTAAGGCTTATTTGGGGATTCCTAAGGCTTATTGGGGGGATTCCTAAGGCTTATTTGGGCATTCCAAAAGCTTATTTTGGGGTTCCTAAGGCTTATTTGGGGATTTCTAAGGCTTATTTTGGGGATTCCTAAGGCTTATTGGGGGGATTCCTTAGGCTTATTTGAGGGATTGCTAAGGCTTATTTGAGGGATTGCTAAGGCTTATTTGG